TGTCCGCTTATGTTTAAACTTATGCAGCTACATTCGATTTCCAATAAACAAAGATAAATGTTTTAACTTGAAACTAAGAACAACTAACTCACAAAGGAATATGGAAACAAATAACAAAATGTTATTTCGCACATACGACCTTTTATCTTATAAAACGAACTAATTAAAATAAGATCTCACGCCTCAAGGAACGATATATATCGTATCGTGATAATATTACCGAGCCGGATTTTAGCTAACCCGTTATCTATGGTATTGTCAAATTTGCCTTGTTAGGTTAGGTTAGGTTGAATAGTCCCTTAATAAGGCTTAGGGTTTGCAAATACTATTTTTGTTTGTGAAATATTAAACCTTAAAGTGCAAATTTTTGTCGAGTAGGTCACCTCAATTAGCAAAAAACTTAAGCCACAAAAAAACTGAAAACAAGAAAATAATGAACTATTTTAAAAAAAGATAAATCTTTAAACAAATTTATTATAATTTTATGGAGTCGGAGCCATGCCATTGCCAACCCAAGAATTAAATAAGAACTCAGATCTATCAGACATACATGGCATCCACTCCAAATATTAATTTGTCTAAAGATAAAAAAAGGCTTATTATTTTCTGCTTTTAAATTTTTTGGCGGTATAATTTTTTGCTAAAAAGTTCTTATTTTTTATATACACACATCAAAAGTGTCTAGGGATCAACATATATTTTTGCAATAACTTTTCTCCTGATTGATATTAATTAAAATTTTCTTTAAGGATTCATCAAATAAAGTGTTTTCGTTTGTCACAGTAACGATAAACCAAGTCACCTTTGCATTAATAAAGAAATTTGCCATTTTCCTAATAAAGGGATTTTTGACATTTGAACCACTAACACAAAAGTTCGAAAAAAAGACTGAAATAACAGTTTTCTCTAAAATTTTATTGGGTAACTTAAACAATTAATAATCCGTATTTCTACCGCGAACACTAACAACACAAGAACATCGGTTTGGCATACTCAAAATGAGTTCATCCAAATCACGCTGTGGAATGGCCGCCCATGTTCGTTGCAACAACAAAAAAAGGTCTTCTTGCGACTGGATACCCTCCATATTCGGCAGAGCTCTTCTCTGTAGCATATCCCATGCATGCTCAATCGGGTTCAAGTCTGGCGACTGAGCAGGCCAGGGCAGGACATTGATGTTAGCTGCGGCGAGAGTCTGTCTTACAACTCTTGCGGTGTGCGGTCGTGCATTATCATGCATTAACTGAAATAAGGGACCGATTTGCACTTGTAGAGGAACGATGACGTCTGATACAATCGTCTCAGCATAAATTTGAGCGTTGAGGTTGCCTCTGATCCAAATCAACTCAGTTCTTCCGCCGATCCAAATACCCGCCCATACCATGATGGTTCCACCACTATAAGGATGGACTTCCTGGCAGGATTTTAATCGCTGTTGGCGTCCAGGGGTTCTCCAGTGTCGTATACGTCTTGTATCCGGTCTCATACCAAAACGAGACTCATCAGAAAAGCACACGAAACGCCATTGTTCTTCTGCCCAATTTCTGTGTTCAAGAGCCCATTGATATCGAATCCTACGATTGTGCATTGCTATAGGTGGTACCCGTAGCGGTCTTCGGGAATGAAGGTTCACTTCATGCAAGCGGTTTCTGACTGTTTGGTCGCTAATTAAGTTCCCTGAAGAGTGATGAAGCCTCACGGCTAACATCATGGCGGTTATTGTTGGAGCTCTTCGAGTTAAGATTTGAATGTATCGGTCTTGTCTCCGTGTGGTGCAGCGATACCGTCCTCCATGGCGCTCAGCCACGGTACCAGTGCTTCGGTATCGTGTCCAAAGTCGACTGATAACACTCTGACTTGTATTCAGAGCTAAAGCCACAGTACGTTGCCGGAAACCAGCTTCTATCATTCCCACGGCTCTGAGCATTTCTTCCCTGCTTAAATGACGTCGCCGCTCCATAATAACGTTGGTTTTAATCAGTAGTAGGGAAACAGTAGCACTAATAATGTCTTCAATGCGTTGTATGTTTTTATAGGGAAAATATTGACAGCTGATTTTCATCTTTTACTCGAATTTGATTCACAGTTCCTGATTCAAATTATGAAATGCACCAAAAAGGATCCATATAAATTTATAAAATCATAAATTTATTACAAAGCCACATCTCAATCTCAAGAAATCCGCATAAAAATGCTTGATCCCTAGACACTTTTGATGTGTGTATATATTTATTATAGTATGCACGTGTTATGCAATACGAGGTTAAAAGTATGGGAAACAGGATAAAAAGTAACAGTTCAAAAAGAAAGGATCAGCTAAGTAAGTACTTGAGTAAACTAATAATTCTAAAGAAAAGTTTACTAGAAAAAAATCCACGCGGATCAGGAAACACACGGGACTCGAACCTTCGCTATCCGGGCGAATGCACTGACCATGCCGCTAGCTGCTTTGCTAGCTGCCAAACTAGTTGCCAAGCTAGCTGCTTAGCTAGTTGCAAAGCTAGCTGCTTAGCTAATTGCCAAGCTAACTGCTTAGCTAGTTGCCTAGCTAGCTGCTTAGCTAGTTGCCTAGCTACTTACCTAGCTAGCCGCCTAGCTACTTTCCTAGCTGGTTACCTAGCTAGCTTCCTTAGCTGGTTGCCTAGCTAGCTGCGTAGCTAGTGGCCTAGCTAACTTCCTAGCTAGTTGCTTAGCTAACTGCCTACCTAGTTGCCAAGCTAATTTCCAAGCTAGCTGCTTAGTTAGCTGCTTAGCTACTTGCCTAGCTAGCCGCTGCGCTAAGTTGCCTAGCTGGTAGCCTAGCTAGCTGCTTAGCTGTTTGCCTAGCTAACTTCCTAGCTAGCTGCCTACCTAGTTGCCAAGCTAGCTGCTTAGCTAGTTGCAAAGCTAGCCACTAAGCTAGTTGCTTAGCTAGCTGCCTAGCTAGATGCGCAGCTAGCTGCTTAGCTAGAGACTAGCTAGTTGCCCAGCTAGCTGCTTAGCTAGCTGTTTAGCTGGTTGCCTATCTAGCTGCGTAGCTAGTGTCCTAGCTTACTTCCTAGCTAGTTGCCAAGCTAGCTGCTTAACTAGCTGCCTAGCTTTACTAGAAAGCAATCTACGCGGACCAGGCAGCAGACGGGCCTCGAACCCGCACCCTTCGCTATCCAGGCGAATGCACTGACCATTATGCTACCGCGGCCCACAGCCTAGCCTTAGGCTGCAAGGCAGCGTAAAGATTTGGCATTGTAAGTAATCCACAATGTCTAAGCAAATTTTTAAAAATTAAAAACAGCTTTAATTAATATTTCTTCTTTCAAATGTTTAATTCTTGTAAATGTATTCATTTGACATTAAACAAAACTTTTATTTAAATATCCGGGCGAATGCACTGACCATTACTTGTACCATTGCTAGTTTACCAATTTAGCTATTTGCCTACCGAATTGACAAGTTAGCTGCTTAGCTAGTTTCCTAGCTACTCGCTTAGCTAGACGCTGCGCTAAGTTGCCTAGCTGGTTGCCTAGCTAGTTGCCGAGCTAGCCACTAAGCTAATTTCCAAGCTAGCTGCTTAGTAAGCGGCCTAGCTAGTTTCCTAGCTAGCTGCCAGGCCAATTGCCTAGATAGCTGGCCAGCTTGTTGCCAAGCTAGCTGCTTAACTCGTTGCTTAGCTAATTGTGTAGCTAGCTGCCTAGCTTGTTGCCTTGCTAGCTGCTTAGCTTAATGCCTAGCTAGCTGCCTAGCTAGTTGCCTGCCAAGCTAGCGGCCTAGCTAGTTATCTTCTGTGTAGCCTAGCTAGCGAGCGAGCTGCTTATTTAGTTGCCTAGCTAGCTGCTTAGGTAGTTGCCTAGCAAGCTGTGTTTCTAACTCTAGCTACATTTTGCCTAGCTAGTTTTCCAATAAAATTATAAGAAACCAGCAATCATCAATGGACAAAACTATTTCGGTTTAAGAAATAACTATACTAACGACATCTAGTAATGAAACAAAAATTATTTACTTGCCTGCCATATGCTTTAAATAACCTTGTGTTGAGGTACTTAAAGAAACTAATACAAGGCAAATAAAGTAGATGTCGCTATACTTACATTTTGGATCTCAACATTAAGCGTGGAATTTACGAAATCTTAAGTAAATTGTAGAATCTACTACCTACTCATGTAGATGAGTTTCTTTATTTTGTCCATTGATGTGACTTTCTCCCTTGTTTTACTATTTAAAAAGGAAATACTTTTTAGCGTTCTCGATCGCTAATAGATTTGCAGTGGATATAACGAATGTTGTTTCTTATCACTCACAAGCTTTTCGAAACTGATTCATCAATCAATAAATGAAAATGATTTAATTAAACCTCCACAATAAAAAAATATTTACAGAAACTTGTCGAAAAATCTGAGTCCTTTATTAATATGCCCTATGTAATAGGTAGGTAATGATGTCGATTTTGGTATGATTCCCTAAAGCTAAACTTAAATTTGACAACGGTGCATCCTTGACATTCTCTATACAAAATGAAAAGGAGAGACTGACGTTAAATTTAGTTTTAAGTTTAGAGAATCATGCCAGAATCGACACCACTGTCAAAACATTAGAAGCATGTCGCATTTTAATAAAATACTGTTGACGATTCTTGCATGATTCTGTAAACTCAAAACTAAATTCCTATCAGCCTCTTCTTTTCATTCTGTACAGAGTATGACAAGGATGCACTGTTGTCAAATTTAAGTTTAGTTTTAGAAAATCAGTGCAGAATCGACACCATTATGTAACTTCTCCTATGTCTATGTGAAAAACTAGCAAAGATTAGAATTATATTTTTATTATTTGTCTGTATGGACGAAACTTTTTTTTCCCGATTTTTATAAAAAAAATGTTTATACACATTTTCAATAACATAACCAATATCAAAACCATAAACCAAACATAACCAAAAAGAAGGCTGTATCGACTTAGTAAACTTCGCCTTTTCATAAAGGGGAATAATGCAAAAAAAATCTTTCTGTTTTGAGCGTAGGTTATATTTTCTAATCTATGGTTTTGAGGTTATGTTTGTGATGTGTCAAAGAATTCTGCGATTCAAAAATAGTTAGGAATGTTGGTTTAGGACAACTGTGGCAACTCTAATTAGATTTCCTCAGTAAAAGGTGAAACTACTATAATGGCAGTGGTTATTGAAACGACTCTTGGCGATATCACCGTGGATTTGTACTTGGAGCAGCGTCCTGTAACATGTCTGAATTTTTTGAAATTATGCAAGATGAAATACTACAATTTCAACTTATTTCACACCATAAGAAGTGGCTTTATTGCCCAAACAGGAGATCCTAGTGGAGAGGGCTCTGGAGGGCAGTCTATTTTTGGCTTATTAGAAGGACCAGAGAAACGCTTCTTTTCAGGTGAAAAGATGCCAAAAATTCGTCACACAAATGCCGGCTTATTATCCATGGTTTGTTCCGACGATATGATGGTCGGGTCGCAATTTTTCTTCACTCTCGCGTCTGATTTGGATTCCCTAGATGGTGTACATTGTGTCATAGGAGAAGTTGCAGAAGGCCACGAAGTACTCCGGAAATTGAATGAGGTAATCTGTGATGAAACACATAGACCTTATCAAGATGTAAGAGTAACACATACTGTGATATTGGAGGATCCATTTAATGATCCACCAGGTTTTCGATCACCTTCAAGATCTCCATCTCCAAGTGCTGAAAGATTAAAAGGTGGCAGAATCGCACCTGATGAAGAAATTGACGAAACACAAGGCAGAACAGCAGCTGAAATCCAGGAAATTATTGAAGAGAAGGAGGCGAAAGCTAGAGCTACCATTCTAGAAATTGTTGGTGACCTACCTGATGCAGATATAGCTCCCCCAGAAAATGTGCTCTTTGTTTGTAAACTCAATCCAGTGACTACAGATGAAGATTTGGAAATAATCTTCAGTAGATTCGGAAAAATTGTGAGCTGTGAAGTCATTAGAGACAAAAAGACCGGTGATTCCTTGCAATATGCTTTTATAGAATTTTCTGATAAGAAGTCATGTGAAGATGCATACTTTAAAATGGATAATGTTCTCATAGATGATAGGCGTATACATGTTGATTTTTCACAGTCAGTGTCTAAAATGAGATATCTCGGTAAGGGTAGAGGTGTACAGCACCTGGATGATGATGGCAATGTAAAAGGAAATCACTTCAAGTCAAACCAGGATAAAGAGAGGTACAGATACCATCCGAATCGTCAAAGTGATAGAGAAAAATATCATAACAGTAAATGTGATGATGAAAAGTATAAAGAGAAAGAGGATAGAAAGACTCAATCTACTGGTCATAGCAGTAAAACAAGACAAGACAGACATAATGACAAGCATCATTATAACAAAGACAGAGGTGTAGACAATTATGAAAGGAAGAAAAAGTATGAAAATGAAAAACGAAGCAGAGGCAGAAGTAGATCAGAAGAAAAATCTATGAGTAAAAGTGAAAAATTCAGAAGTAGATCTGATAATCATAAAAATAATGATAGTATGAGCAGTTCTAGACAATATGATACATCACAGAGTCATAAGAAAAGTAAATCTGATAGGATTCACAGTGATAGGCAAAGAGAAAGAGAGAAATCCACTTCTCCTTCCAAAAACACTAAAGATAAAGCAGACAAAAAGTGTGAAGAGTCTGAACAAAATGAAAATAGGAAAAGAAAAAATAGCAGTCATAACAATGTCACAAAGCATCAAACATCTAATAGTAGTGATAATTTAAAGAACAAAAAATCAAAGAATCAAAACGAAGAATTAGATAAAAAACATGACAGGCGACGGGATAGAGTGAATGATAAACATGTCGAGCCTCGCACTCCGTCTCCTGCAAAAGAAAAGAAACAAAGAAAAGACAAAAAAATTTTGAAACATGTAGAGAAAAATAAGAAACACTCTAAAAGAGAATTAAATAAGAAAAAGAAAAGAAAACCCTCAACTTCCTCTTCTGAGTCTGAATCATCAGACTCCAGTTCATCAAGTACTGAAACAAGTTCTAGTGATTCAGATACCAGAAAGAAAAAGAGATCAAGAAGAAAGAGGAAGCATTCAACATCTAGCAGCAGTGAATCTAGTGACAGTTCTTCTAGTTCAAGTAGTTCAGACTCTAGTAGTTCAACTAGTTCAAGTTCTGATAGTGAAAGAAACAGAAAAAGAGCAAGGAAAACTAAAAAGAAAGTGGTCAAGAAAAATAAGAAAAAAACTTAGTATCCATGCATGTTAAGTTATAAAATTATATTATTGAGTGTGTTCAGATTACTTTTCATTCCTCAAAGTAATTTTTAAATGATAAACTATGTAGTTGTCTATTTAGTTCAATAACAATTGTACAGTATCATTGCATTTCAGAATCTACTTTTCATAATAAAATTATGAAAACCTATCATTTAAAAAATAGGCATTGAAGAAAAGCATTTGAAACTTTATTTAAGCTTGACATTTATTGCATTGTCTGAATTTATAATTCTTTTACTATAAATTATTTTCTTAAAACTTTAATAACCATTTCCCTAGTTACATAATTACTCAAATACAAACAGAAGAATGAACATATTTTCTAATTTCGTATAGCTACAAATTGGCGATGAAATTTCAATTATTTTATAATGTTAGTTTTATTTATTTGTTTATAAATATTGTACCTATGTATGTGGCCATTTTCATTGTAACAATCACTGACTGATGAAAATATTAATAATAAATTATTGTTGAACCTGGTAAATGATTCAGTACAAAATAAGTATTTATCAAATTAGAAATTTATATGGTTCATAAATAATAATAAATTATGGATAAATACAACAATTATTTAACTTCCAAACTAAGCTGAGCCTGTATTCGTAGATTAGTGAACAAGTATTCATACACTTCATTGATAAATTCGGCTACTGAATGAGAACCCATAACCGTTGCAACAGTAGGATTGAAAAGTTATTGAAAGTGAAATAACATTTTATATTTAAAGTACTATAGGTATTTTCTTTGTGTGGTTAATGATAAGTAGAATAATTGGTTTCATCTGATGTCTCGTTACATTATAATAAGTATAGCTTAAAATTATTTCTAAACGAATTTTAAAACTGTTCACATGCTTGAATAATAATTAAAAAATACATTCATATTTAATTTGATTGAAATATAAATGTCTAGCAATTTATACATAGCTGAGCTTATATATTCTTATTTCCTGTCTGCATGTAGGTATTCAAATGATTTTACGGATTTTATATGAATTACATCTAAGAGGTAGGTACATTGATAAAATAAAAACAAAATTTTCATAAATGTTGGACTGTTTTAATATTTTCGTGATTCTGTTTATATATTTATGCAGTTATGTATTTTTGGGTTCTGTATCCTATCCATATAATATGAAACTTCATACATAAAACTTTTTTCATGGTAAAGTGTGGCAAACAAGCATATGGCCCGGCCCGCCTGATGATAAGCGGCCACTTTAGCCAGTAGACGCTTAAAAAAGTGCTTGGGATAGGTACAACAAAAAAGATCACTGTGACATCAGATAATGTCAGTTATATTTTAAACATAGTTTTTATAAGTGTAAACAATTCCGTACATGCATCATTGAATATTATACTGGTATAATAGGACAAATCCTGACCAATCCCCTCGTCTTTTTGCATTTGAGCTAATAAGCCAGCCTGCATGTTGCTTCTTCACGCCTCTTAAAGGATCCCAGGTTGTAATACTTGAGCGGGCAGAGCATTCCATTTACGGATAGTGCGACAAAGAAATGAGTCACTAAACTACTTTGTGCGCGTTGGAATAGTGGCTACAGTTAATCGGTGGCAACGTAGGTCAGCTCGCGTCGTCCTCTAAAGGAAAGGGGAAGGCGAAATAAGAGAGAATAACTCCTCGGAACACTCACCGTGGTACAGTCGATAGAACGCGCCGCGTCACGGCGTAATTCAAGAGGCTCGAGGTGTTTAGTCACCTCCTCATCGCCTTTAATGTGGACGCGCCGCTGTATTCTATCCAAAACATCGAGCAAGTACTTGGCGGTGCCATCCCAGAGGTGCGAGCAATATTCCACACAAGACCGCACCTACGTCTTATACAACATGCACTGTTGCTCGGGCGTGAAAAAACGCCGCACCTTGTTCAGGACTGAGGCCTTTTTAACCACGCTTTCGATGTAATTCTTTGGATTTAAGTCACAGCGGATTTCCATACCGAGCATGGTGTACTACTCTCTAGCTTCAGTGTTGTGTCCTGAAAAGAAGGAAATGAAAGAAATGGCGACGTTTTCGCCGTGAAAGCGCAGACCTAGGTTTTCTTAGCATTGAACTCGGCCAACTTCTTGGTAACCCATTCGGAAATGTAGTCCAAAGTCTGATTGAGTTCAATGACAATATTCTCCCGTTCGACACGAATTCTACGTTCATGCAGGAACTCAGCTACCTAGGTAGCTGTTCCTGGGAACAGAACTGGGCCGGCAGACCGTATGCCGAAAGCTTAGAGACAAGGCTTTTGTGCCAGACCCTGTCGAACGCCTTAGTAATGTCACGGCTGGTAGCCAACGACTCGCCCCCGCTTGTTGATAGCCCCACTCCAGATATGAATCAAGTACTCTAGAAGATCACCCGTCGATTGTTTGAGTCTAAAACCATATTTCGATCATTAATCAGGGAGTGTTAAGGACCTTTTTTAGGCTATTTATTTATATTTTACCTTATACTGCTATTGGCCGGTTGCACGTTGGCATCTCCCCACGTCTCCGGCACACGCCCCAAGACAACTCTGCTGCACATTTTTTAAATAGGTACTACTGTTAGGATGCCATCAGGCTCACTAGCTTTCTGGACGTCGAGTGATTACAATTCGGCGCTAACCTGACAGTGCAGTGCATTGCAATCATCTATTCGGGAGTTAGCCGCAAAGAGTTTTACCAGTAAATCGGCTTTCGCCTGTGGCTTATGAGCTGGTGTTCTATCTGGGCATCTCAAAGGTGGCGGCGAGGCCTGGCAGAAGTTCTTCTGCACGGCCTTGGCCAAACGCTAATAGATACGGAAGCCCATAGTATGCGTTATAAGTTCGTGACCAACACGTGCAACGCGCTGAGCATCCGCTCTGATGTAAGCCTTCTTACAGAATATCTGGAATCCTGGTAGGCTGATCGACCAGTTGCTTCAAGTCTTGCATGAGAGCGCATGCGTGAGCGAATGTATGAGATCCTTGCATGGTCTGTTTTGGAGGAACTTAACCACAAATTGTGGTGAGTATTAAAGTCCCCCAAAAACAAGAATTCTGCATTGGGAAATTGTTCCTGAGCGTCATCTGCTGCCCGACTAAGGTGTTCAAAAAGTCAAGTTGTCTCAACATCGCCAGTATGGGATCTGTTGAGGCACACGTAGACTCTGGCCAGGGGACCAGTCTAGAGAATCTGGTCGCGGCGGTGTGCGGCCAGCGTTGCACACCGCCACGCCCAAGGGCGCGACGTTCATATTTGTTTCTTTAGTAAAACCGGTCATAGACGTGGCCGTCTCGTGAGCGCGGTGCCTAAGATGTCACTCCATAAAATCAATTATTCTTTTATGAGACATTCCATGTAAGTAGTTATTCTGAGAAGTAGAACTTATTTCAAATTAATAAAGTCAAGTTCCTGTTACTTATGTAGTTACTTATTTGCTATTTGTTTTCTTCTTCTTTCTTTGTTAATGGGTTCTTCGAGCATAAAAGTATTACGTATAAAATAATAGACTCCTTTTTACCCGACTGCGCACGGAAGCAGCGCGACGTGCAGACAGGGTATTGTGTTTATAATATTTAAACCCATGAATTAGCGACTGTCATGCGAATCGAGAATCGAAGGGGTAGTTGATAGATTATGATATTTTGACATGTAGCAAAAAAAATTATAAATTTAGATGTTATTTAGATGTTTTATACATATTTTATAGACCCTGACACCCCACCACCCGTGGACCTCGGAAATTTGGATTCAGATTCATTAATTCTTTAAATTTATTTTTTCTTTTTAAGAATTTAACTGCTATATATGCTGAAATCTAATTTAAGATATGATAATATGGGTCAAAATCATTTTAAGTTTTCAAATATCTGAGAAATGAAGATTTCGTTTGACGAAAACACAAAAGTCATTTCGGGAACACTCAAATATTTTTTTAATAATAATATAACCAACGCATTTAAGTATCACAAAACATTCTGTAAAAAACTAGCCAAGTCTCGATGGAGCTGCTTGTTTATCTCTAAAAAGTAATGAAATCTAGACAAAGGCGTGCCAATTCTAAGATTTCTTACTGTGATTTCTTTATTATTATAGTTAATGCTGTGTGACTTGGCCGTTGAAGGGTACACAAGGATACAAAACCAGGTGCTACATGACACCATTGCACCAATCTGTCGCCAGAACCGCTACCCATTGACGATGGAAAATTGACACTTGGAAAACGTTGATTGAATAATCAGTCAATTGTAGGCTTGATAAAGTTGCGTTTACACGTAATGTTGCACATATGAATGCATCGGTGCAATGGTGTCATGTACCACCTGGTTTTGTACCCTTGTGTACCCTTCAACGGCCAAGTCACACAACATTAACTATAATAATAAAGAAATCGCAGTAAGGAATCTTAGACTTGGCACGACTTTGTCTAGATTTCATTACTTTTTAGAGATAAACAAGCAGCTCCATCAAGACTTGGCTAGTTTTTTACAGAATGTTTTTGTTGGTATTTCACTTCTTTTTGTAGAATCGTGGGCATATTGATTTATTTTATTAGATTTTCTTATTTGACACATTTTTTTTCTTTTAAAGTAGTCTTTTTATTATTACAAATCTTTCTTTTCTTTTTTTCCAGTTCTGATTCTTGAACAGTAGCAACAGTTTTTCGTATTGCCCATTCGCGTTCTATATTTCTTCTTTTAGACGGTTTAATTTCTGAAAGATCAGCGCGGTATTTACGCCTAAGCCGGTTGTATTCGGTAATCGCTGAAGCTTGAACTTTTGAAGTCAACATTTATGAGGTGCACCCCATGAAGATTGGTTACTCGTGAAAGCGCCACGTAGGCTTGGCCACAAGAGAATATGGAGGTGACAATGTCCATGAGAGCATTTTTAGACTTAGACCTTGGCCTTGACCTTGACTATCACGGCCACTCTGAGTCCAATGCATTATATTTTGACCAAATTTTGAGCGTAATTATTATTTTAGTGTAATTTGTTAATATAATTTGTGTAATGATCGAGTAGAATAAAG